CTAACGACCGTGGAACAAGTAATGAAAATGGCATAAGAATCAATTTTCTCGTGTAGGACCAAAGAGATATTTTTTTCAGATCGTTTAAGAAATCCAAGCCGAGTCCTTATTCTAAATGAGCTATCAGAACGCTATGTGTGCCATGCAGTTATATCAAATGTACGTATTAAAATTTTCTCCCAAGACTAAAATATTTTTAAAATAAAAAGAAACTAGTCACATTGGTTGATCACATAAAAAGAAGCATTTGTGTAAACCTCCCCCCTCACAAAGAACACGATTTATCTACGTCTTCCGATGCCGTCTCTGAATTAGGAGGTGGGCAATTACTTGCTGAAATTTATTAGACAAAATTTCATCAATGTGACGACATTCCTGAAAATTTAGGATATTCACCAGTGGTTTACGTGGCACTTTTTGCTTCCACATTTTCTTATAAGATGAAACCAAGGCTCTCTCACTTTTTGGCATGGAATACGCGTATCAGGTAATCTATGTTTCTTCTTTTAACACTGCTCTGGAAGATTCTGACAGAGTGGAGGTTGCCTAAGACCTTTGCATTTGTCACTTGTATAGTTCAGGGAATTTGTAGCGTTCTTCCACCTCAATTATTTAAGTTTTTTCCTCGAAACTCTTCCCACCCTCCAATGTTTTTAGTTCTTTCATTGTAACAATTTTTAAAGCCCATACACCCATGTCTTACAAAAGAGATGACTAGAGAAAATATTTTAACAAGTTCTTTAGTAATAAATGCTTGTAACATAAAAACTTTCCGTAGTTCACAGTCTAGGACGGCATAACAATTTCTGATTAAACGGTTTTAATTTCTACATCTACATTGCACCTTTTGTCTATAAGATACCATTTAAATTATCAATACATATTATCAATTCCATCAATTCGAAGTTTCAACGAGGCATAGGAAAGAAAGCGATCACAGAAATCTCGAAGAAAGAATAAAAGGTTCTATTCTGGCTGTATTAAACACTTGTTGTTTCTCTGTATTTGTTATTTGAAATTGCATAATCATCTGTTCAAATATGAAGTATGTAGTAGAAACTAATAATTCATTGGGACTACGTCGCTTCAGTATTTTTGATAAATTATTTATAATGGCTTGAAACTTGTACGCCGTGTATAGGTAAACATGTCGTACAAGTCTCAAGCTCAAGCAAGTACTAGTATACAAGTACATAACTAATAATCATTCTTAGTTGTAGCATTTTTTAATAACTTTTAATTTCCAATTTTTTTTCTTCAGAAGTCATTCTCCGCTTGGAGCATAATTTTACAGGAGACATAATTCTCAGACAGGCAGATGAATACTAGTGTACAGTGTACATCTCCGAGTCGGCGATCAGGATCCAATTGCACTTTCCGCACGCACCAACGCAGAACACTCACTTGTCTTCTCCTGGCAGCGGCGCAGGCTCATTTAAGCGTGGCATGTCCTGTACGCGCGTTTCATTCCACACAGTGTTTGCTAACGTCGCGCGGCGCGTCGTGCGAGGCACGTCCCCCGTTGCAGAAGCACGGCCCTGCCATACTGGATGGCTGCGGTCGCGTGCTCATTGCTTCTTCACGCACTAGCTGTACCATGTTCAGGGCATATCTCTGGAAAACCTTTCGTGGGTACGAGATGCACAGCGCACCCGACAGCTCCTCCCAGGCTGTGAGAGAGACCTTTGGGAATGTTTAAGTTGAGCAGAGTGCAACACTTCTCAATCATGATTATTTGTTACGTTATTTTAATCTTTTGCTGATGTCTATACAGTATCTTTTTCACTTTAGTGTTTACTTGCATGTAGTAGCCCAAGATATTATTGACATCTGAACAATTCCGTAGATCTTTAGTCATTTGCATTAAATAGAAAATATATAATGTTAAACGTATCCTCGATATTAATTTTCGAAATGGCGATCTTCATCTAATGCGCACGTCTGAGATATGTTCAATGAATTATGTTAGAAAAAAAACGTGGGTTATTAAGTATTTAAACAAACAAATTGATTGGTAATTGTTTAGATAATCGCCTCGAATTGAATTTAAAAAACACATGAAAACTATCAGAACAATCCGGCCGCTAGAATTGTTCTCGAAACAGCGGCAAAATTTGACATATGTAGCTAGATAGCTATATGCAGTTCCTCTTACTGGGAGGTCCCGGAGTTCGATTCGAGACGGAAGCAGGCTCTTGACACTAGCTAGTGAGATTGTAAGCTCGTCGAACTCAGTCGCTGTCTGGAGGAGAATTCTAGGGGCAGACTGCTCTGATCTATAGTTTTCCGGGGATTCATCGATCAACACGAATACCGTAACAAACGGGCCACGATTCGCACGTGATCTTTCCGTCCTCTTCCTAGTCCTATCCTCACTCTTTATCTTATATACACATACGTGCATTACACTTCCACACATGCCGGGAGACCAGTCGGAAGCATAGAGCTTGCCCTGGCTGGGGAGACAGTCCGCTGGTGGGAGTTACTTCGTTGGGGAAATCCCCGCTAGCCGGTCGTAGGTCGGCACCGGATCTCGCCGACCATCGGTAGAAAATAACGCCACCACCAAAAAGATAAAACACGCACTACACTTACGGGGCCAATGACCTTAGCAGTTGAAACTCCCGGAATCACTAACGAATCAATCAACTTAGCTATACAGATATCTAGCCAGCGCCCGACAAGCCAGGGCGGGGCGGCGGCTGCGCAGGAATGGTCTGTGGGGGGGGCGGGGCGGTGTGGGGGCCGGGCGCGCTCGCGGCAGCCGCCGCGCAGCGCGGCGGTGACCGATGAGCGCGGGCGGCGTCTCGGTTTGCCTGCCCCGCCCGGCTCAATACATCGCAGGTCGCGCCGGGGGTTTTATTGATTGCCCGTGCGCCGGCGCCTCACTTCCGCTCTTTCTTGTAGCACAGCGCCTCCGGCGCCGCTCGCGCGTTGCCCGGCGATTACGCTTTCCAAGCCGCCGCCTCAACCGTACGCATCCGCCGCTTCGATCAACGAACCGGTCTTCCTCCGCTTCCAAGCCACCCATTTCGTTCTGCCCAGCCAACCCCGCGCTCGCCCTCCCGTCCGCCTGCCCATAGCGCCCCGGGCATAGGGTGGAGCATCGCGTGGATTGGCGCCGGGCAGATTCATACAGGAAGGAATTTGAGGAGCTCACGCACGCCGAAGGTCTTTTACCAATTTCTTTCAGACCACATTCGTTTTTTTTATTTGAACGCCAGGGCGTAGAGATCCTATTTCTATTATAACACAGAAGTGTAACAGCTTTGTGTTGCGTACATTTTACATTTGTAGTGTAGCTTTTTGATTGAATGATGCCACGGGTATAGCTAATAGAAGTTTTTCCTCTCCATTAGGTTTGTTCTTTTAGTATGGCTAGTATGCTTTTTTAAAACGAAATTTCAAATCGAATACATTGACATATAGCACTTACTATTTTCTTTTTCATTTCATAACATTTTTCTAAACTATTTATATTTACCTCTATTGCATTTTCTGCGGTTACCTTTCTTAATTTGTCATATTTACTAATACGAAATTTATGTTAGAAAGCTATTTTAATTCCTTATTTTCTTCCTTTTAAGTATTTTCTACAAAAAATATTTTTTTATTAATGGAAAGGAAAATATAGTGTATAGTTTACAGAGTACAGTTTGCATAAATAAAGTACCAAAAATTACAATATTTTGGAACCATATTTGAAAATCATTACATACTTTAAAGTTCACTTATCACATCATCGCGATGTAAAATAGAATCGACAGATTCGCCTATGAGGAGGGTTGAATTGTGACAGGAAGGATGGACGACAGGGACATTCCGAAGAAAATCTAGACTGTAAAGTATAAAACATGTTTTCGCTGTAATTATTGTTATTAATTAAAACCTGATAGACATTTTACTGATGCTGATGCATTTACGGGAAAGAATTCTACAAGACGTCTCGTCGAAGAAAGAAGTGGATGATTGACCAACCAGTTACACATTCTTGTGAATGCACATTGAATGCATTATTTCTAATAGATGAGAGTAACTGAAGTTTATTAACTTCAAACGGTGTACAGAACCCGGAGAAAAGACTGGTTACTGATTTAAGGACGGTATTATTGATAGAGACTAGTTACTGAATGACAAGTTTGATGTGGGAACTAAAATGTAATTTCAGATATGCCAGGAAATAAAAAAGAATATGTTTATTACGAACATACTTAAGCAATTAAAATATATTTATAGATTCGCATACCAACGTTTGAGCTTCATCCAGATCATCTCTGTCTTTACACGAGGATCCTTAGGCATGTCCGTAATGTCCTACACAATCTTCGATTAAATAATTTGATACACAAAATAGAGATGGAGCACAATATCAGTACTTCGTTTATTTCATTCCATTGCTTTATAATATTGTTAAAGAATATATAAAATATCTCATACCTGCCTTATAAAATGCAGCGATTCAATCAAGGAAGCATTCTGTGGGCAAAATTTGGCAACTCGTCCAAGAATAGGAAAAAAATAATGCTGCACAACCTCGTACTTGAGAGGCAACATTAGTCTTACAACGAGAATTCGTCAGCTAATGAAGTTCTAGTTTTAACGTATAGCATCAAACTTGCCATTACTTACTCTATTCGATACAATGACTTTCAATGTATAGTACAAAAATAGGAAGGTACTCAATGATACTCTCCGAAACGTGCACTCTAAAATAATGTTAACCACTAAAAAGTGTCTAACAATCACATGACAGTGCTGCCGAGCATTAAATCCAACATGTACATAAACCAAATGCTCTTCAACATAGAAAAATTGAAGCGATGGTTCAAATTAAGCATCTTTGCCGAATGTCTCGATTTGTGTCAGACCTTCGCTTGTAGACACAATCGCAAAGCCTTTTGTTATGTTGCAACAACATTAGCTGTGATTCACGCACATGAATTATGTGATTACGAAAGGCGAAACGCACAAGCCAGGATATGAGAGAAAACAGTACTCACTTCTTGTCGATGTGCATGAACTTCATGTCCATGGAGTGGATGGAGGTGAAGACGTTGGTGGCGCCCTGCACCACGCACTCGCGCGTCTCGGGCATGGCAACGGGCGTACACGTGGCCAGGAAGACGGGCTCGTTGCGCGAGCACAGCGGCAGGAACGACAGGAAGTGGCCCTGCACCAGCACCACCTGCGCACGGGGAGGCATGGGGATCAAGTCTTGGGCGCGGGGCAGGCGACGCGGCTCCCTTGAAAAGTTCGAAGGGTGTCCGTAGCCCTACGTAATGAAGCTTTTTTTAAAATTTGTATTCCAGCATTATAAACGACCTTTTTCCTCACAGGAAATCATTCATCATATGACATATTATGGCACACAATATGACATATTTGCCGTTTGCGGCACGATTAATTGCGTCATCGTACACTCAGCCTATAACAGGAGGATAATCGTGGAATGGTAGTTATAACCCGAACAGCCGACCACCTTCTTTTCGTACAGACGTCAAATTATCGTGACGTCACGATAAAGCTGTTTCCAAAAATTAAGTTTTATTCTCCTAAAACTTTATAGTGTTGTTATACGAAAAAGAACGTTGGAAACTAATTTATACTGTTACTTTATTGCATTCGTACAAATGTGTAAATTACCTCTAACGCCACTCTTTTTCAAAACATGTACTCATGCAATAAAGCTTAACATTATGAACTTGTTGCATAACATTCTATTAATTCATTAAATGTAATCCTTATTGTTTCATATTTTAAGCTGACATTTTGGAGAATTGATAAATGACATTTGGGGAAAAAGGTTTACAAACTATCTGCCGATCCTGAAAATGGTTTATGACAGAATCAATTGAATTTATTAATTTTAAAATTAAACTTATAATTCAATTATCTTTTAGTTTGTTTGTTTATTTATTTACTAGCTAAATGTCGTATCAAATAAAAATGTTTAATGGCACACAGCCAGATTCGCTCAGAAATGTAGTTCGGCGTCCCACATTGTTTTAGGCTGTGCACATCTATGATTAAAATACGTGTCCTATTTCCATCACGACGTCATCGTGCGGATACGACATGAATTGTTCCACTTTGTTTACTTCCCACTGTTTTTACCAAATTTTTTGATAATATGTTTGATGAATCATAGTTTTAGAAACTCTCTTGATCATACTTCGACAGAAAAGTACACTTTCTCCTGGTTCGTGAGTCTGAAAGAAAAATTCCTTTCTTTCCCCCACTGTCGTGATCAACAGACACTTTCTAATGATGAGAAACACGATTTAAAAAAATCAAATTTCTTAATTGCATTTTATTAATTTACTATTTTGTTAAATTATGTGACATCCGATATCACACTGTATACTGTTTTGTTCGGACATAATTCATCGGAAAATAGAAAAGCATCCTCGAATATTTATTCTACCTATTGCGTTTGCAAAACATATTTTATAAGCTCTTTTATTTCAGTAATATAATGATTATTTTGAAGTCGAATATAATGAAGGACTAGGATGATTAAAGATTCACTCGGAATAATGTTCTCTGATAATTTCTTCCAGTAGTACATGTTGTGAATTTCGTGGAGAATACAAATCGTTGTACTACAGTATGTTACAACAAAGTGGAAAGTACAAATGCAGTATCATTCCGCTGTTGGGAAGTAGTGATGAGACATTGATAACAATTCAACGATTTTACTACACATCGATGTTCGAAATTAAATCATATGTTAACAAAACATGAATCAAAAACCATAGATTTTATACATTGATGTTTTTAAAAGACGGTAAATAACTTCTAACATTACATTCGGGCCTAGCCAAAATTAAATTTCACAGTGACCGTGTTTATTAATTTACAATTAATGTTTAGTAGATAACAACTTGAAAGATAATAACGTATAAGGCTGGATGAAGATAGTACACACAGCGTTCGTGTGGTTCGTATTCATAAACTGATCATGGTACTTTTATACATTTATTATTACGGAAATTTTTCATACTTGATCAAAACATCGAAAAGATTAAGTATCGATCTTAAAAATATCGGCCTTAATATAACGATGTTTCTATAAAAACACCAATGTTTTCAAAACGGTGACATCAATGTCACATGTCTCGCATAAAAATGTGAAATGTTAGGAATCGTTGAAAAAAAGTAATGTTTGACTGTCGGTGCAGTATATTTCTGAAGGTTTTCAATTTGCGATAAAATGTGAAATGAAAATGCGCAATCCCATGCAAAGTGCGAAATTCTGGTGAATCTGCGATGTGAGATTCCTAAATTGCGTTTTGTAGTTTCCTTCGTGATCGCTCTCTTCACTAGAGATGCAACATCGATCATAACAAGTCCATGCTTGAAAACATTTAATTTTTATAGCCGTGTTTTTTAGTATAGAATTAAGATTTAATTGACAAAACAAACAAAAAAAAAATTTTAAAAAAATGATCCTGCACGCCTGAGGGCTCAGGGTCAACTCTATCGGTTCCTGAGTTTCCTGTACGGAGAGAGTAAAGGAAGAAGAGGGACGCCCTACTCCAACAGCGCCCGCGTTACTTCCAACGATTTTTACGCTTCCTACCTTTTACATTTGTTTACATTTCAGAAATAGCGAAATTTTAAATTAGTTTCTTATTTCCTGACATGAAAAGGAAAATCTAAAAGGCATCAACATTTTTTTTATCCCAAAGAGACCTCCCTTTAATAATATTTTTTACACCAAATACTACAAAATGCTAAATATTAATTTGTATAGAGCTATAAAAGGCCACAGTTTGCCGGACCGGATGGTCAAGGTCGTTATGACAACGGTGCCGCAGCGATCTCTGCCCGAAGGATCGTGGATTCGAGTCCCGCCCCTGGCACGGTTGTATTTGTGTTCGTCCTTTCACCCTCTATCACCATATCATGACACCTTCACAGTTACCATTCCGTTAAATGCAATAGTGGTAGATAATGACGTTAATGTGACCTTGTATAAAAACTTAAAAAATGCTACAGCCTTGTGTTCAAAATGCCATGTTTAAATTCTTCCATGACTAGCGCCGGGCCTCGGGGTCGCCGCCCTGCGCGGAGCGGCCGGACGCCGGACGCAGACGCGGCGGCGCGAGGGCAGTCACGCGGAGGAAGCGCTTCGGCGGCCGCGCGTCCGGCGGACCCCGCTCCCCCCCTCTGTCTGCGGGAAAGGGGCCTCACCGCATAGAAGCGCTTTGATAATAAATACGAGTATTACTTGCTCACTCTACACTTGCAGACGGAGCGCTGCGATCTGTTTACATGACCGGTCACCGACGACTGAATGGGACTCGCACGTCTACAGTAGATAATGATCGACTACTTACGATACAGGCAAGGGTACTGCAGGGCAAAGTCTAAGCTATACATAACATAACTATTGTGTGATAGATACGTGTAAAGGAACTTTGTGTAAAGGTGTTCGAGCCTTTTCAAATAGCGTGTATTTTCCGTGACAAAGTGTATTGTACTGCAACTTTGCCCATAGGTCTTTGTAATGGTATGGCAAATAACACATTTGTCATTTGCTCGCGGCAATTCACTTTCCGTGCATTATGGGATTGGTGTTCGGGCCCTCACTTTCATTGCGTAATTCTGGCGTCCGCAAATTCATTTTGAACGAGTAATACAAAACAAACCGTTTAACCACGTAATAAATCCGAAACAAATCCACAACGAACTACAAATCCTCGTATTACATCCCCAAATTATCCCAAGGATATTTCACATTGCTTATCACATCCCGTAGTACTTCCATATTAACATTGGACGAAATATCAAAAAATCAGGCTCTAAAATTACAGATTCAGACGGCCAAAATAAATCAGTAATTCCTCCTACACTCGTAAATCTTCAGCTGTAATAATTGTAATCATATCTAAGAACAATCTCCAAAATATACAATTCACTTCCTCTCCCAAGAATAAAAAAAATTTAAAAAAATGAAAACCGAAAACTTGTTATGCTTCTTGGGCTTCCACGAGAAAGAAACCAAAGGAACCATAATATTATTATCATCAAAACCAGTATGTTAGTTGAACAGAAAGATAACAAAAGCAGGGGAATAAAATAAATTATCTTTGTAATATGCGCGAATTTGTTTCATTTTTAAACTGTATTTGATTACATTATTTTCAAATTACTGCTATTCGACCGTCCCAGATTCCACTGAGTGACATTGTGGTGACAGTTCCGTCACGCGCACACGAGAATTGCGAAAAGAGTGCGACAAAATTTATTGCTATTTATTTATCTTAAAAGTACAGAAATTCTTCATTCATGACCATATTTTATGAGTATAGATTTATTGAAGAGGAAACATTCCAATCAATATAAAGCACTCATTTTAAACATTCTCTTTCTTTAAGAAGGGAAATTCTGTTCAAATTATTTCTCTTCAAACCCCTTTTGTTCAGGGAAGAAGCTTTATGTTGGGTTGTGGAGGTTTATCTCATCTTAAAATTAAAATCCGTTTTACTCAACATTCCGCATCGTACCAAAGCTCTGTGTAAAAGGTCTTACCCCACAGGAAACCTTTGGCTTGATTTTTGGCAAAACGCTAACAAATTCACATTTTAAATACATTGCGACTCCTTGCTTACGTTTCGACAGCCTGCAAACAAACAGAACTTTGAACTAATAGTACAAAAATAACATAACAGTGTGAGATGTCGCATTCAATTCCAGAATCTTAGTGTGCTTTGTGTAATTCATTGCGCAGAAGTGTTGGTTTGAGCATGGAAGTTTTTTCTGGGGAGCAGCGCGCGGCATTGGCGGTTGCTGGCGTAAGTGGTGTAGGGGGAAGCGGCGGCGGCGGCGGCGGCGGCGGCGGCGGCGAAGACGCTCGGCGTGCGCGACTGTCTGGCTGCCAGACGGCGGCGGCGCGCGCGGCGCATGGCAAGCAGCGCGGTGCATCCGCAGCCGGCGCGTTG